ACTAGGTCCTCTAGGAATGTTAATTGAGTTCATTCAACAGACTTGTGGAGCCCTACTATGTGCTAGGTACCAGAAAAGGTACCTAAGTCTGAAGAAAGAAAGGGAGGAAGGTTGGAAGGAAGAGAAAGAAAGAGAAGCAATGCGTGCAGAGAAGAAGGCAGGGAGGAAGGGAGAGAGGGAAAGAGGGAGGGAAGAATGGTAAGAAGCAATGTGTCTTCACTGAAGAGTATGTATCTGGTGTGTGTACGTGTGCGCATGTGAGCCCACAGTCATGCATGCTGGCCTGTGTGTGTGAGTCATTGCTGTAGATGAAGTGCCCCCACCATCCACCCCAGGGCAAGATCACTGTTACACAGAGAAAAGCATTCTCTGACCACCCCAACTTTCAGTCTAAACACATGTACTTGAACCTGCAGCAAAAGAAACGTGGGTGGGACTATGGAGCACCACAGCTGGGAGGCACCGTTCGCTCTATCCCCCTTCACGCAGGAGGCAGCCGGAAAAGCACAGAAGCCCACTGTACAGGCTGCCTGGGTTCTAATCCCAGCACCAACACCTACCAGCTGTGTGATTTTAGGTAAGTGACCTAACCTCTCTGAGCATCCGTTTAAGTCTTTAACAGGATACAGTGATAAAAATAATAGCGCCTACTTTATGGAGCAATCGTAAGAATGAAATAAGAGAATGCAAGTACAGAGCTTACAAGAGCACCTGGCAGATAGTCAGCACTCAGTGCATCGTGAATGTTATGTTTCTGGGGCCAGAAAAAATTGGGGAGCAGCAAGATCAGGGGCCCAGCCAGGCGCTTGGATTCCTGTGGCCAGTCACTGGTTCACACTGGGGATCTGAGGAGGTCCTTCCAGCCCCAAGGCTTGGAATGCTCTTGGTCCTCTTTCCTGCTCCCTCTGCCCGTCTCGCTCCCCTCCACGCACGGCCTAGCACCCAACCTCCATGATTCCTTCTAAGCCAGAACCGAGGCTCCTGGCCTCTCTGCTGCTAACCTCCCATCCATCTCCCATAGGGCCAGCTCCCCTTCCTTCTGCTGTGGCCACATGTGCCCAGTTGATCCACCCTGGCCAGAGCACCTGGAGCTCAGGCCCCCAAAGCCTGCCTCCTCCAAGCTTCTCCAAGAAGCCCCTCCCTGCCCAGCATATGGATGGGGGAGGTTGCAGGGAGAAGGGATGCTGGGCAGGTGCTAAAAGGACACCACCTACACAGCCCTCTCTGAGCGTGCCCACCCGCAGCGCTGCTGCCTCAGCCCATCACCCGCAGCGCTGCGCCCTGCTGACCTGATTCTGGGTCCTGGGATTGCTCTCCTGTGGAACAGTTCTACTCACTCTCCTTTTCCTTTCTATCCTACCCACAAAATATTTCCTGAGCACCTATTCTGCGCTTGTCAAGCCCTGGGGTCAGCAGTAGGGCTGGGTATTATCCTCACCAGTACTTCTCAAATCCCCTAGAGGGCTGGTTACAAGGATTGCTGGGCCCCAACCCCAGAGCCTCTGATTCAGCAGGTCTGGGGCATTTGCATTTCTAACTTTCCCAGGTGTTGCTGGTGCTGTTGGTTTAGGAATCACATTTTTTATTATTATAAAAGTTTCAAATCGGAGGGTGGGGGTGAGTGGGAGGGCAGTGGATGGGGGGAGGGGGATTGTTACTTTGTGAGGGGTGAAAAGGATAACTATTGCATTGTTTTGTACACCTGAAACTAATAATAACAATAAATAAATGTTTCAAGTGTACATTATAATTTGACATCTGTATACATTGCCAAGTGATCACCCCCAAAAGTCTAGTTGCTATGTATCACCATGCAATTGACCCCCATGCCCCCTTTCGCCCACCCCCAACCCCTTTACCCTCTGATAACCGCCGATCTGTTTTCTGAGTTTATTTTTGTTTGTTCCGTTTTTTTGTTTTTAGATTCCACATGAGTGAAATCATACGGTATCTGTCTTTCTCTTTCTGACTTATTTCACTTAGTTTTATACCCCCATGTACCCCTACGTTCACTGCAGCTTTCAGCACAACAGCCATGATACAGAAACAACATAAGTGTCCATCAATGGATGATTGGATAGGGATCATATTCTGAGAACCACTAGTCCATCACAAACTGTAATTCAAGGCAAACTAAAGCAAGGGCTTTGATGAGAGGAGAGAAAATTAGGGAAAGGGCAGAGCAGGCCTAGGAAGCAGCACAAACAAAGGCCTGGCAGCTCCAGGAAGTACTGGAGTGAAAGGTGCATGGAGGCGGGGCAGGAGGGTGGCTGGAAGGGCACGTGGGGCCAGTTGGTGGCCACACCCCTTCCCTCTGGCTCCCCAAGCAGTTCCTTTGTGCCAGGTACCCCTGGCAACTCTGCCAAGCTCCTTGGACTCTAGCCCGAGCCCATCACCCCCCTCTGCAGGGACACGGCACCTCTGCCCCAGGCCTGGCTTTCACAGGCTGTTGTGGGTGACTGTCAGCGTCTCTACCCGCCCTCCCTGGGCGAGCTGCGGGAGCCAGCCCAGAGGTGCCAGGGAGATTTGCCAGGTGAGCAGGCATGTGTGTTGTGGGCGTGGATAGCCGGGGAGGAGCACCCGGCTTGCCCCAGCCCCTGTCTACCAGCTCACTCTATCTGCACCAGGATCTGGGGCTGGGTATGTGTTTGTTGCCGCTTGAGCCAGAGCAGTTACTATGGGTAGATAATAATAGCAATCGTAATCCCTTATAATTGGACCAGACTTTGCTATCTGCAGGGCGCTTCCATGCCCATGACCTCATCTGACTTCCACAACCACCCTGTAGAACAGGCACAGCTAGAATTACTATCCCCGTTTCACAGCTGAGCAAACGCAAGCCCAGATGGCCTGAAGTCACATCTCCTGTATGTGGCATACTCGGGCCTGGGACCTGGGACTTCTAGCTCTTTGTTCAGTCCCCTTTCTCTATTCTGAACTGTCATAAATGAGCGCCCGATCTGCTGCTCTCCACAGGAGGGGCCAGCAGCTCTGCTCCCCAGGGCAGCACAGTCCAGTAACAGGAGGAGTCTGGCCTGGCTGTGCCCACCTTCCCCACCTGTGGGAGGCAGCCGACCACCAAGTACATGGACACAAAACTGTATAAGCACCAGCTAGGACACTGGACCGGGGAAAGAGGGTCAGGGTTGCCTAATCCAATAGAGGAGCAAAGCCAGGGTCAAGAAGGAGAAGGAATTGTCTGTGGCCACAGCTGCCACTAGAGAACACAGGTGGACATAGATGGTCCCAACTCTATGGTGGCACAGGTGGCCATAGCTGGTCCTGACTCTACAGGGGCTGGCTCTAGATATGCTGCTGCCTGATTCCTGGGCAGGAGTAGCCCAGAAGACCCGTGGGATAACCTGGACTACCTGTTGTTGTTTGTTTTTCATGGGGTCCGAAAGATAAAAAAGGCCAGTAGCCCCTAGGAGCCCTACCCAGCGGGCCGCAGCATGTACTTTCTCGCTCACTTGCTGGGTGTACACCTGTCCATGACACTCAGCAGGATTCCGGGCTGGGAAGGCAGGTGTCTGGGCTTCGTGCACATGTGCATGTGTGTGCGTGCATGAGTGAGTGCATGTGTGTGCGCATGTGCACATGCGTGTCCATAACAGGACCCACATAGGCGGGGCGGTCAGAAAGGCTCTGATCCAGGAGGAGAGACCAGGCTCCCATCTGGACCCACCACTGAGTCACTGGGATCAGCTTCCTCATCTGTAAACCAGGGCCATCTGTCCTTGCCCCACTTGTTTCAAGGGTTGTCCCCAAAGACCAAATGGATAGAAACCACCCAGGAAATAGAAACTCTCTAAGAATGAGCGAGCTCAGGAAGGAGCTGAGCACGTGTGAGGGAGGGCGAGTGGGGAGCAGGTGTGGGAGCTGACCCTGACCCTGATGGCTGGCCAGCAGAGCTGACACCGATCAGGGTGCTCAGGGCCCCACACTTGGTACCAGGTGTCCACTCTTGTTCCAGAAAACTAAACTGTACCCCATGAAACCCCCTGCTACCACCAAGCATCACACCACCCCTCACCCCTGCTCAGGGAAAGGGGAACAGGCAGAGGAAACTGTGGAGACCAGGGCATGACAGACAGGACACCACAGGTAGGCCCATAGCTGGCACAGTTTCCCGGGAAGGGTGGCCGCAGGGTTTACTATCCTGCTGACAGGGGGAAACAGAGCCCAAGTGCTGAGGGTTCGAGGTGGCTTTGCACAGAGGCGGACACAACTTGGTGAGGTCCCACGGCAGCCTGTCAGGACCTAGCAGAGACTCTCCACCCATCCGCTATGATCTCCTCTAACTGGTTTAGACTGATCCTGGATCTCAGCAGAAGGGTGAAGAGGTCACCTCTCATGGGGCTCTGAAAATAAGGAAGTCACTAGCTCCACGAGCAGAAGTGACACTTGCTCAGCAGCTGGGGTGGAGGTGGAGGACGGGAAATCGCCGTCTCCACGATCACTGATGTCACCCTGAGCACACAGCACACCACAGTCCTGTGCCTGACCATCTGTGCAGGAGGGGAAGCCCTCACGCAGCTCATGTCTACCAAGCCCCCCTGAACTTGGCTTTGGCCTCCCAGAAGCTACTGAACACCCTGGGGAACACAGAGGCAGCTACAACAGGTAAAGTGACTCACCTGAGGACACCGCTAGTAAGAGGTCAATCCAAAAAGGAACCTAGGTCTGGGGACTGCAAGGCCAACCCAACAACTGCACAGACCTAGGGTCTGAAACTCTGCTCCAACACCCCCAGGGGGTGGCGGTGGGGGGGAGTTTGGGTCCTGGAGCCTGACTACCTGGCTCAAATTCCTGCGAGGATCTGAGTTCTCCAAGCCTCAGTTTCCTCATTGCCAAAATGGGGCTATTTGTGCTCCCCATGCTCCGTGTGAGGACTGAGCAGCAGGGTCCAGCACTCAGCACATCGGAGCTGTCATGGCTTGGGGATGGCCCTCCCCATCCCTGGGCTCCCTAGAAGGTTCCCAGCAGAGCCAGCTGCTCACCTTGCGGTCCTCCTCCCGCTCTGGAGCGGAGCTGCTGGTGTCCCCGGGGCCGCTGGAGGGCATTGCGGGCAGCTGGGTGGTGGGAGGCAGGCTGGGGCTGCACGGGGCTGAGGGGCTGCTTGGCTTTGGGGAAGGAATTATCGTGGTCTTTGTAAGCAAGAGTTAAAACTTAGACATAGATCCGGGTGCTGAGTGGAAAGTCCGGTGAAACTCTGCCTCAGGCTGCCTGTGGGTTTGGGCTTCTGATGGCTCCACCTGTGAGGGAAGAGAAGAGGGGTCAGCAGGGCAGGGCACCCCCAATCCAGGCCCCACCTGATCCCCCAGCCTTCCCCTGGGCTAGTTCCTCAGCCCCAGGTCCTGCTGGCCTGTTTCCCCGACCTCTGCTCTCTTCCCAGCCTCACCAGCAGCTCAGGCCCTCTGAGCACTCCAGAGAGTGTGGGAAACCGAGGCAGGCTCAGCCGCACGGCACAGCCTGGCTTCCCTCAGGGCCACCTCCTGCCTCTGAGGCTTCCACGTTGCTGTGGCACAGTGGGCGCCACTTCTGGGACTTCCAGCTGCCTCCCGCCTCGCCTCCTCCCTTCTCTTCATTCACGGCTGTTCTTTCCTTTGAAAGCTTCCCGCACCCTCCCTCCCACCCCAACCACCCCTGGGAAACCCCAGCAGTCCCAGCCCAGCTACATTTTCCTTCTAATCTGTACTCCCCACATGCCCCCACCCCCACACCGCTCCCCCCCAAAGTGGAGGAAGTGATCGGCTGTCACAGGATGTAGTGAAATGAATGTCACCTCACTTTAGGACCAGCGCCTGGGCCCAGAGAAAGCTGAGGTTAAACTCAGGCTGCGGCCAGGCTGAAGGCCTAGGTTTGTAGTGCTGTCAGGAGAGGACACCCCGGTGGGAGAGGCCACAGCCATGGCCACGCAAGGGAGGATGGGAGGCCCCTGTCTCGCCCACCCCATGAACCGGCCCCATTCGCCTTCAAAAACTGGTAGGCTTGAGGGGGCCCTCCAAACCCACACAGCTGAAGTTTAGGGGATTTTCATCCTCCCTGCCTCAGGTGTGGGCCTCAAGCCAGTGAAATAACACAGCCCTTGCCATAGGCCTCAGCTGGGGGTTGGGGTGCCTCAGCTTCAACCCTTTTCACTCAGAGACCGAGTTCTCCTGCACCCCGCCCCCCAGAAGGAGACTCGGGCCAAGCCCCTGCCTCCAGGGCGCCAGCCAGGGCTGGGAGGGGATTGGCAGGAGGAGGAAAGTGGGAGGCAGGCTGGATCTGGGCCCACCCACACCCTTCCCCTTCCAGTTCCTGGTTCTGCTTCCCCCGGCTGCCCCTCCCTCTAGGGCTTCTTCTCTCATCCTTCTCCAGCCAGGCTCCCTGGAAAACCAGGAAGTGGAGAAAGCACAGACTTGGGTCTCCCAGGGGAACAGCCTCCTCCCCAGGGATGGGCGCTGGGCTGGGAGGCAGGTGCCCAGTCCCGGCTCTGCTCCAGGTGCAGACGGGTAAGCTGGAGCTGGGAGTAACCTCCTTAGGACCAGGAGCAGCCCTGTCATTTAAAACCCAGATAGGCTGCAGGTGCTCCATGCCCCACAGGCGAGCCCTAAGGAAACCCCAGGTGTGCTGCACAGGACTATGCTTAGAACCACATTAGGCTCAATGAATGTCTGCTGCTTAATATAAGCAGGTGAGATGGCGATAGAGACAATAGTGCCACGTGTCAGACACTGTACTAAGCACATGACAGTCGTTCCTCCTGTGGGCAGCTTCTAGTATCCTTACTGTCCCTAGTTTACAGTTGTATCTAAGGCTCAGAAAGGTTAGGATTTGTCCACATTGCAATGTCAAATCAGAGGCTTGCCCCCAGATCTCTCTGACTCTAAAGCTCTGAGGGAGTCTCCCCAAAGCTCTGTCCCCCAACTTACACCACTCCACAGAAACAACTCAAGAGCCCACTAGAGAACTGGTTCAACCCAGAACTCCACAAGGCTTCCATCCATTATCAGTCAGCAATTCCCCCTCAAACCCACTCCCTGTTTTTAGCACAAACATCCCCAAGAACCCCCACATCAACACCTTCTAAAGGACATGGAAGCTAAGAGAGGCAGAGTCTGGTTAGAAAGAACACTGAACCCAGAGCCAACAGTAGGTTCTAGTCTTGATTGGGGCTTCTCTGGACCTCAGTTTCCTCAGCCATTAAATGGGAGAGTTGGACTTGATGATCTAGCTACAAGACATCTTCTACCTTGGTCCTGCCGAGCTGTTGGAGGCCCCCAAGAGCAAACAGGAAGAGCAGACAAGGCTGGGACGTCTTCAGGAGCCCCCAAGAGCCCCAGATGGAATCTGTGGAGACACAGGCACAAAGTAAGAGGCCAATAATGCTGCCTAGAAACATCCAGGGGACTTCTGTGAGAAAAAACAAACGAACACTTTCAGAGGACCTCTCGTTGCCAGTGAGAAAAAGAAGGAAGCAGGAGGGAGAAGCAGAACATTACAAGGCATTGACCCTGACAGCAGACACCCCAGAAAGGAAAGGAAGTGTTCTTTCCTCCTCCGCTCCCTCCAGATAACTCCTGATATCTGAGCTGCATACACTGTCCTCATAGCAAATGCAGCTGGCGTGGGCCAGTCTTTAAGTTCCTTTGTGTTACTCACTGGAAAAGACCTGTCAGTCAGTGTCCCTCCAAATCACCCAGCATCATCTAAAACCATGCAGCATATGGCCAGGCAGGCCATGCGCTGCACAACTCCAGGGGCCACTGTGATGGCCAAGGTCCAGGCCTCGACACAACGCTTGCCGCTTGCCCTTAAAAGCTGCCTTCTCTCAAGCAGCTCTGCCAAGGGGCGTGTCCTGCTCCCAGGCCCACAGTCCCAACACAGAGACATGTGTCCACCATGACAGTTCTTGGCCCACCACCGCCCTGCTGCTCCTGGCACTGAAGCCTCCTCCGCACCCATGCCAAAGGCTGTACCACAGAAACCACCACCAAAGAAAGCTCCTTGCCAAGACCCAACCACCATGACAGACAGCTTTGATTTCCTCCTTTATATTTCTAATGTCCACAATCGCCGTGAATAATGTTTATAACAACTTTACAAAAAAATTTTTAAGGAATCCCATCACGAAAATGTTTTGGTAGCACAGTGGACATGGTCACCATCATCACTATGTCAGTGACAAAACTGTTGTGGAAAAAGAATTGGGATTTTGAATATATGGATCAATTTCACTACCTTCTCAAGCCAACTCAGTACAAAGATTTAAAAACAAACAAAGTCATAGATGGGGCTGAACAGAGAGGAGATACCAGCAACAAAATGTGTGACAGCCAAATTTCAGAAAGTACATGAAAACGAATTTATAACAGAGTCCCTAAAAGACACTTGACATGATAGTACCAGGTGTCCTGGGACCAAGGGTAAAGAGGACATGTGTCAAAAGGACAGAATGAAAGAACTAAAACCCCTAGATTCACCTCCCCCAGAAGTCTGAAGGTTTATTCTATGGAGAGCACAAGGGTCTTTGCGCAAAGAATCAGCTAGCACAGTTGAGAGCAAAGGTAATATACCAAAGCCAAGATAAAGGTTATTATAAATGTGACATTGTGTTCTGCCAGCTATCCCCATGCTGGGCTCCTAGAACACTGGCAGCCAGACCCTTATCTTCTTCTGTGGAGAATCTAATCAGTCCAAGAGGAAAGGCCTAACGATACAGATACTGACACCAGAACCCAAATGGCGTCCAAATGGCTTATTTAGTATCTGTAAGTCAACAAGCTCCACCATCATGCTCATATCTTCCGATCAGCTTTTTAGTCCCCTGTTCTTAATCTTGAAAGGACAACCAAGGACCACTAGTTATCTGAAAGAAGCCTCTAACTTGGAAGATAGAGACCAGAACAAATAAACCAGAACCAAACCAAACCAAAACACAACTTAAAGGCAACAGAATTTATGCACAGAGAAGATAGTACATTCATGAAACAAGAATGTGATGCTATTAAAAAAGAACATTCAGAGAATAAAAAAGAATGTCTAGAAGTAAAAATTATGCTAGCAGAAATGCAAAAATCTACAGAAGGGATATATTAAAAAGAAAAAATAGAGGGGTGACCAGTTAGCTCAGTTGGTTAGAGCATCATGCTGATAATACCAGGGTTACTGGTTTGATCCCCGCATGGGCCACTGTGAGCTGTGCCCTCCCGAAAAGAGTCAACTATGCCATTGTGGCATGAAAGCAATGTGTAACCAATGACCATGGCTGTTCCCCAATAAAATTTTTTAAAAAGAAAGAAAAGAAAATAGGAGAGGATGAAAAAGAAAATGGTCCAGAAGTTTCCATATCTGAAAAATAGGCAGTACAGAAAGAAAGAAAAAAAAAACAGAGGGGAGAAAATTACCAATAAAATAATTCAAGAGAATTTCACAGAATTGAAAAACATGAGGTGCCTGATTGAAAAGGCCCACTGACTGTCCCGCACAATGGATGAAAACAGACCCACACCAAAGCACATCCTTGTGAAATTTCAGAACACTGGGACACAGAGAAGATCCTACAAATTTCTAGAGAGGGAGAAAAAAATGACACATAAAGGTTCAGGAATCAGAATGGCTTCAGACTGCTCAATGTTAATATTAAAAGCAAGAAGACAAAAGACCAATACCCTTGAAATTCTCCAATTAGAATTCTTTACCAAGCCTAATTATAATTTAAGTGTGAGAGTAGAATAGATTTTCAGACACTCCTTTCTCATGAAGCATGGGAAGGTGTCCTCTAAGACACAGGAGAAAAGGGAAGGAACTCTCCAGAATTAGAATGAAAAGAGGCCAGATGAAGCCAGACAGGAACACTGTTCAGATCTAAGCCGTGTGGCTGAAACTCAGGTATGCCGAATGCTGTCATCACCATGCCCTCTACCATGGAACCACCTTTTTAATCTGAAAAACCACAGGTGTTCACTCACTGTACTCTGCTGTCTGAACTCAGGAACTGAATGGATTTGGATATTGACAGGTATCTGTCCTGGGTGATGTGTTCCAAATGGGGGAGTAAACCAAGCAAGATGAAGACATGAGATCTAGAAAACAGGAACTCCAACCAGAAGAGAAGCGAAGGGAACGCCAAGGAAGTCACAGAATGGCAGCTACAGTGTGCCACGTACAGAGAGCGAGAGAATGGACACCTCAAAAATGGAACTGAAACATATAGTACTTGACATGACTGCCCTAGTGGAAAGCCATACTGACAGCTATTAGAAGGTGTAGCAGGAATTAGCAAAAGGTACAAAGATATTATAATAAGGCAGATGGAAACACAAAGTAATTATTAACTTTAGGGAAAACGAAAGGAAACTATTGTAGTACACTATAAGACTCAGCTGTGGATAATAGTTGCAGTAGTTAATTTAACAAATATGTGTATATATACACATGTATGTATGTATATACACATATATATGTAGTATACATATATACTACATAGTATATTAATTTCCCATTTGCTGTTCTTACAAATTACCATAACATTAATTGCATAAAACAACACAAATTTGTCATCTTGCAGTTCTGGAAGTCAGAAGTCCACAATGGCGCTACTCACAGGGTTAAAATCAAGGTGTTGGTAGGTCTGCATTCTTTTCTGGAGGTTCTGGGGAGAATCCATTGTCTTGACTCTTTCAGCTTCTGGAAGCTGCTCACACTCCTTGGCTCATGGCCACCTTCCATCCCGAAAGCCAGCAATGGCCAGTCTTTCTCCCATTGACTTACTCTCTGCTTCCCTCACATCTCCTTCTCTGACTCTCCTGCCTGTCCTTCACTTCTAAGGATCCTTGTGATGACACTGGGCCCACCCAGATCATCCAGGATCATCTCCCAACTCAAGATCCTTAACTTAATCACACATGCAAAGTCCCTTTTGTCACATAAGGTAACATATCCACAGGTTCAGGGGATTAGAATGTGGCTCTCTTTGGGGGGGGGGCGGAAATTATAATGTCAACGACATACATACATATACATATGTTAATATATGCATAAAACATTTTTGAAAGAACGCTGGTAGAGTACTATGAATAGTATGCCTACAAGAACTATTTAGGGGAATGGCTGGAGAGCAGAAAGTCTGGCCATGTAAGAGAGCTAAATTCTTATTTACTAAATAGGAAATGGAAGGAAAATGTCTAAAATGGAAAAACAACGTCAAAAAATATGCAAATAAAGACTCAGAAATATGAGTGTAAAATTGCTAGAAAAAAATAGCTGAAAATGGTTGCCCCTGAGAAGAGGAAGAGGGTGGGAGCAGGCAAGGAACAACTGCAATTGGTGAAGACATATTAATACTGTTTGACTTCTTAAATTACATGCATGTACTACGGTGAGGAAACAAAAAATAATTTTTAAAAAGGGAGAGAATGGGGATGAGCATGAGGGCTTACACCCAAATGCAACCGTTGGTTGGGTTTGGCCTCCATCCTCCTTGTAAGAGTGCAGCCAAGGCCCTTCCACCTCTGTTGCTTTACAAAACCATCACATCCCACAGAATAACCATTATCAGCTCCTCACACCCACATAGAGTTCCGTCACCAGCTATAAAAGTGGTACCTCCCCCCACTCCACCCCTCACGAGTCGTCAATTCTCACAATACGTCATTTCCACCAAATCCAGCCCATTCACAGCCTGAGGCACCTTCCTCACAGCCCTCCCAAACTGCACCTGTGCCTGCCGTTGCCGCCTACATCCCTAACCATGATCCTGGCTCACGCATTAGCCCAACTCACACCAAAGGCCCACAGTCCAACCACTTCCTGGAGCCTCCAGACCGTCCCAGCGGTGTCAGCTCCCACCCTCTTCACCACACTGTCCCTAGCACCATTCCCACCTTCCTGACCAACGCTAACACCATCAGCATCCCCTGAGCTGATCACCCCAAGTCTCACCTCCAAGCTTGCTCCAATCAGCACCAACTAGATTGTCACCGCACAGTCTTGCCTCAGCAAGGGCCTGCAGAGAATTATCCTTTCCCAGAAACAAAACCATACTTGCCCACAAACCTGAATCCTTGCTCCATCAAAAACAGTCCTAACGTTATTACCATTGAGAGCCATTTCTGCTCCATCACAAGCCCTCTACCTGAATTGCTGAATAGCACAGGTCCTTCTTCTTCCCTCTCTCTGAAGACTCCTTTTCTCATAGTGGACTTGGCTTGGTTAAGTCTATTTAGTTACCTTCCCCTCGTTCCCAGGGTGGGTTTGGTTGTTTGTGCTGATCGCACCCTGCACCCTAGTCACCGGGTGAGCATGTGACCGGGCAGGGCCAATCAGAGGCCTCCCAGGTACATTTGGGTGCAATGGAAAGATGCTAATACCCGTAGGATGTGAGTCAGGAGCTGCTAGCGCCGCTGGGCCGAGAGCGCCTGAGAACAAAGGGATGAAGATAGAGGGATGGAACACTCAAGTCATTTTCTGGGCCCCTGAATCCAGCTGCACCTAGAGGCCAGGCATTTGTGAATCTCCAGTGAGTGAGTCTGTGCCTTGCGGCTGGCCTGACTCATATGCTAATCTCAGCCTCCTCCCCGGGAGGCTGACTATGTGGGTTCACATCCCAGCCTTACTACTTATCAGCTGTGTGACCTGAGGCAAAACTGGGCCTCAGTTTTCTCAGATGTAAAACGGGGAAATAATAACAGCCACTTCATAGGGCTGTTGTAAGAATTAAAATGAAAGGCATTGAAAATGCTTAGACGAGTGCCTGGCACAAACACACTCCGTACGTTTTAACAATTAGTAGTTCTGACTAATCCAGCCCACAGTTTTCTCTCCTTCCGTGAAGTCCCTGGAGTGCCCGTGAGTGCACATCATCCCAACAGGAGGTCGTCTTTAGTAAGCTACTGTGACGTGACAGGCCTATGAATAGAGCTTTACAATTCCAACATCTTGTTCACCCCCACGCCTCACTCCAACCCTTTGAAGTGGGTACTATTTTTTATTCCCATTTTCCAGATGAGAAAAATGAAGTCGAGAGAGGTTAACCAAGCTGCCCAAGGTCGTCCAGTTAGTAAGTGGTGGAGCCAGACACAAACCCAGGTCTGTTCCTCCCTGGAGCCCCCGGTTTTCCACTCCATCATGATCTCTTACAATCAGCACATGACTGTTGCAGCCATATTAACTTTGGTCACGAACTGGTCAGAAAACACAGTTTCTAGTTAGTCTCCCTTTCCTGGTGAGGCCTGTCTGCCATGGGGTCGAGGTGGGGCTAGGCACACAACCTTCTGACTGGGGACCTGCCCAATGTGGGAGTCATTCATTCATTCATTCATTCATTCAGCTCTTTACTGAGCACCTACTATGTGCCAGACACTGCACTGAGGGACATGTGTTGTTTCCTTTCATCCTCATAACAATCCTATGAAGTCTATGAAGTCGGTTTTATAAAGGAGAAACAGAGGCTTCGAGAGGTTTATTACCTTCCCAAGAAAGCCCAAGGGCAAGATGACGAACCCAGGTCTGTCTAACTCACTTGGCAACACTCTGTTACAGGTAAGCAGGCTAAGCACAGACCCCAGATCAGCTATCTGTGCCCCTGATGTGACACCAGCCCCTAGATTACAGACTCATGCCTGAATTTTCTATTTGAGCTTGGGAGGAGGTGCAAATGAGCCCTGTGGGTGACAGAAGGCAGAGGAGTATCTTGCGCCCCACGTCACTTAGTCATCTTTCAGGGTGGTGAGAAGTTCCAGGCCAGCAAAGCGGAGGGGAGATATCAGGGCCCCCTAGACAGAGATGTCTATCTGCCACAGCCTCTCTCGGTCACAAGACTGGGGCTGGCTGAGGAGGAGGAAGAGGTCCCAGCGCCACTTTCTGTTGGCTCATTCTCTCACCATGCATGAGATGCACATCATCATACCATTACTCTGACTTTCAGAAACATCCCTCCCACCCAAAGCACCAGCTGCCTGTGGAACACCCAAAGACAGTGGTGACAGGCCAACCATCCTGCCATTCTGTTCCTCACTTCAAAGCCCATCTGCCTGGCTCTGGAGGCACAGCAAGACAACTTGTGGCTCTTCCACCACCGTCCAGGCCAGGGCACCGCCAATGTCAGCATTTACGATCACACCAAACCTGCTGCCACGATGGTGGCCACGCTGGCAGAGATGAGTTGAATCAGACTCATACTAATGGTTACCATGACACAGCCCCCAAAGCAGGGAGGGGGGCAAAAAAAAAGGTTGATGCCCAAAATAGACACCGGAAAGGAGCTGAAGATGTTCTTCTTAAGAGCCAAAATGAGCCAATATAGGCCTCCATGAAGGAGCGTGCGTTTCTGAGAGCGGCGAGTCAGGACAGGCCCTGTCGTGTGTGCTGTGGCAGTCAGATGGGCTTCCCACATCTTAGGGGTCAGGGGCACAGGACGGCCAGGCTGACAGTCCAGGTGAGAATCAGCCACGTGGGCCTGGGCGAGGCTTGCTATCTGGGGCACCATGAGCATGGTTCTGAGTCTGTCCTTCCTCAGAGGTGGCCCATGGTCCACACCTGTGTGTTTCTAATGCTTTTCCAGCATTCTCTAAAGAATGGGCCACACCTGCCAGCTCCAGAGCCTCTTCACTTACTCTCCCCTTGACCCCTGCATCTGGTCCCCACCCCATCCCATATCTCTGAACTGTCTAGGGGTGCTGACTGTGGTAATCCTCAAAGGGGACACCACAGTGGTTCCACCGGAAGATAAGCATCCACCTGGCTTTTTTGGACCTCTTATGCCATTGAGCCAACAGACAAAAAAAGGAGTTACTCCACTGGCTGTCTCCTAGTTCCCAACGAGAAATTGGGTTGCCAGTACATACTAGAGGCAAGGAAGACTGCCTGGAACCCACGGGATTCTCTCAGGTACCTCTTAGAACTTCCACGCCCCAAATAGTAAGGGTTAATAAAAAACTACCGCAACCAAAAAAAAACGCAGGACAACCGAGGATTCAGATCCTTTGAGCATCAAGGTTTGGGTCCCTCCACCAGCACAAAAAGCCTGGCCTGCCAAGGTTCCAGCTGAGTACAGAGGAAGTATAGGATGGCTAATGGGAGAAGGAAGCCGATACCAAATGCGGCCTTGCGAACAAAAATAGAAATGAGAACTGTAGTAGTTTTGCATATTTTCTATTTACTTGATATATATGTGTGTTTATGTGTACATGGTAGCCATTTTCTTTTTCCTCCTTCTTCCCATTATTTTATATACAAGTTGTTGGACGTTTATAATTGAGTCTTTAGGGAACAGAATATGTGATAGGACTGTGACTGAATTTGAGAAATCATTCATGTAGACAAGTGATTCATCCAAAGATTGTTGGGACTCCTCATTTGGGGAAAAGTAAGTACAAAAAAAAAAAAAAGTATCCTTCCGTAGGAAGGAAAGCTGCGTCTTGAGCTTTTGTTGTTGGAGGAGAGCTCCAATGTGTGCAAAGGGTGCAAATGGAAGCAGTGGGGCCAAAGCAGGAGGCTGTGCCAGTTCACTGATTCGCCCTTCACTGCCTGCTCTGTGAAAACGGAGCTAGGCCCTTTACGTCATGCTCCTTTGCCAGCTGGCACACGAAGCTGTCAGTAGAGGACAGCAGAGGCACCTTGAAGGAGGAGGAGGTGTCTTTCCTAGTCCCATTGTGCTCACTCGGAGAGTTCCCGCCCTGCAGACAACTTCTCCAGCAGCCAGGTCCTGCTGCCCCTGTGGCGTCCCCAGTGCCCGGTCCTGTCCTGTCACAGCTTCTCCAGCGCCTGGCTCTCCCAGTGCATGACAGTCAGCAAAAGCCAGCAGTTTCACCCAACACTCCCTTTGGGTAGTTGAGGGGCAGTGTGCCTCCAGCAAGACACTTCCTCGTGAACGACTCTCCTTGGGACCCAAAAGGGTGGACTTCCAGTGAGTTCCAGAGGGCGGGTTTCCAGCAAGTTCTGCCAACATGGCACCACAGTGACTTCTCTGTCA